ATGCAGAAATTATCCGACAACAGGCTCTGTAGCATATCTGTGCATATGTGCATATTTGGCATATCTGTGCTCTGTGCATATCTGGCGACAGTTTGGCAGCAAGATTTGATATAACAGATCTTGCATCAAATTTATTATCTATTTGCCATCAAAAATTGGTAGCAAGTTCTGCTCGAAATCTGTTGGCGCAAGTTTGGCTATTTGGGTATTATTAGTTTCCTATAGAATACAAAATCGTGTATAATCAGATAAAATACGATAAAATGCGATAGGATTTATATCTAAACTTGCGAACGAGAACGCAATCAATTGATAGCGCTTAATTTGAATCGTTTTCTTTAAGCTGTATCGTTCTCGCTCGCAAGTTCAGATATGAATCCTATCGTATTTTATCGTATTTTATTTAGTTACATACGATTTTGTATTTTATAGAAAACTAATGATAGAAATTCTATCACTATGTATTTTATCGTATACGATAGAATACTATTCATATTTGGGAATTTATGAGCCAAAATTCATATTCAAAACGATAGAAAACGATAGAATTTTATTCTATCGTTCTTTATAAACTTTTCTTACCAGGGGTACTATTCCGTACACGCTTACCGACAACTGTCGGATCGGTAGACGTCGTTGCGCAGCTTTTTTATACTATAGAAAAGCTGCGCAATGACATTATCCACTACCACTACCCCAGGGCAGTCACAGCATTTATATATCATATTTTTGCAAATCTATAGTAACACTCGTGATAATAATGCAGAAAACAAGCAAAAAATACTTTCTTTCATAAATATTGCGTCTGCAAAATAAAATATGTTGAAATAGTATGCGCTTACACGATTGGTGCGGTACATGGTTATGCGTGACAATTATATTTATATAAGATTTTTTGCATGCCTATTTGCGAAATCTGATTCTGTAGCACCCTTCAAAATAATGCAGGGAACGAACAAGAAATGCTTTTCGTCATAAATATTGCGTCTGCTAAATAAAAATATCCGAGCAGTACGCGCTTGCACGACTGCCCTTATAGAAATATCATACTAAGAATCATTGATAATTACTTATTTTCAGTATTAAAAATACTGGATAATAAGTAATTATCAATGATTCTTAGTATGATATTTCTATAAGGGTGGTACGGCACATGGTTATGCCCGACAATTATATTTATGTATTTTCCCACATCTGTTTGCAAAATGTAGCTCTATAGCACCCTTCAACCCAGTAAGCAATCTGCGCGCAGACTGGCGACAGGATCTGTCGAATTCGAGTAGGATCTCTCGACAGATTCATAGACATCTGCGTCCCCAATCTGCCGTCAGATTGTTGACAGGGTCTGCGAACAGATTCTGACGACAGATTGGCGGTAGATTGCGCGCAGAGCCTGCCGACAGACTCTGACGGCAGATTGCGCGCAGATTGCGTGCAGATCCTGTAGGTTCTTTAATTAAATTTTTGGTAGAAAATTTTCTCATAATTTTTCATAATTACTCATAAAATAAGCGCTTTCTCATAAATA